GAATCTGAGCTGGCGCTGCTCCTGTTAGCTGAGATATAAAACCTATAAACAAGAAGGAGACACTCGTCAGAAGGGATTCCATCTGGAGATTGGTGACTAGTTATTGCTCAACTGGTCTCTAGGATGATTCAATTTCAATGATTAAGAAACGAGTTTTAGTTTTGGATATGTTTAGCAACAAATAATTACCTTTAGAGGTCACGCACTTTCCTTGATTGCAAATTCACCAAGTACCCAATCGGTAAAGCTCAGATTGCTAGGAAACGATTGACTTTCCATTTTACTTTGTCTTTTTTAGTTGTTTTCATTGAATATACAATGATAAGCTTATCAGGAAGAGAAAATGCCCAATCAAAAGGCTGCTAGACAACAGAATCGGGGAATGTCAGGCAGTGTTGGTGCAACTAGAACACACACGTTCTCCGGGGTGATAATTTGTTGACGTTACCACCGAGCCAACACCGCCGCACAACCCAGTAATGACTGTTGTCCTGGGATGGTATTCTGGCCAAACCGCCTATACTTTTTCCAATGGATCTCGAATGACATTATCATATATTTCCTACATACTGATTCAGTCACTGATCAATAATCTATCACTGTAATACAGTAGTTCATCTAAACTTTGTATTCCCAAACATTTCTCTTCATCTGTAACATCTAATTCGTCATTGTAAAGTGTGTTCTACACGTGCAACAGAACATTGATAAATGTTATGCACCTATTTGGCCAATTCCTGAAATGACTGTTTCATAACGTATAGTTAGAAAATTTTCACAAACACTGGGTGCACTGGTGTTCATCAACAGCTCTCATGATGAACAGTATGTTTTGTTTCCGTACACCGGCTTTTGGAGACAAAATAATCTGCAAGCACATTTGAGCGACCTAGAAACAGGTATCCACGTTCGTTTGTTGTCTGTCGGGTTGTTTACACGCTCTTTTTGTGTCGATTTCAATACGGGACTGAGACAGGCGACATTATTAGTAGCCATATGAGTAGTTAGTTAAACAAGGAGTGTTACACTTTTTCCTTCGTAAATGAGTTTGACCAGAGATTCCATCTGGCATGGGGCGCAGTTAATAATTTCATTATGTTTTGCTGTTTGCTGTTTTAAAATATGAGGTACACAACTATAACTACAAAGTTATGCGACTCCCTTCGTTTCTGGATTTGCACTATCTCTCTATGTAGAAATGCTCTGGAACCGCACTAAGCCTATGTGAATCGCATGATAGAAGATCGAAATTATTTATTTTTAAAACTTAATTAGGTATCAGGCGTGATGTATACAATTGCCCCAGACGGATCTATGATCAGTGGTGTTGTTGAAATCATTTTTATGCACTAAGCAGACCGCCGAACAGGTATGAGGTATCACAGTTCTGTTCCATTCTAAAATGACCGCTGTTAGCCAGTCGATGTAACGCTCGAGCCCTGAATTACTCGCGGGGAAATCAAAGGTGTTTTGTGCTGTGTAGCTTAAACAGTTCTTTCGTTGGAGCCAATAATTCATACTTACTCGGACGGCATCTCAAATGGCAGGCATTTGTATTTCTTGGTCCAGGTGATTCGAACGGATTCCAGTAATATTCTAGCAACTCCAATAAGTTTCATTTTCGATGATGGTACTAAAGTGGACAAGGTGAATTTTTCCATATCAAAACAACAATAAATATATGTATCTAAATTTTGCCACACATGCAATCTATTGAATCGCTCATAAAACTAAACAGAATAGAATTATAGCGTACCTCGAACTCCGTTGGTTTGATAAAGTATCCAAATAACCACCACTCACATAATTTGGTTTTCACAATTCATCTTTTAACTCCAGGTTTTGGATCAAAACTGGAGGAAGGAAAAGGGATTTTCATAGATGTAAGCTGATTGAAAGCAAAATATGGTAGATAAAGGACAGTTAATTTCTGGACAAGGTCACAAAGATCATTTGAATTTTTGAAAAATGCCCTGGATGTTTAAGTCATGGGAGAGAGTTTAGAAATCATGTTTTCCAGGATGAAGATTGGGGAGGTTAACCGAACCGTGTACGCAATGTTTATTTGAGTTGAATAATACCACAATACAGAATCCCTGATGTTATATCACTAGGGTTCAACGGAATTTGTCTCCAATGCAAATTAACTAGACCAAGAGAGCCAAAGTGCTCCAACCAGTAACCGTTATGTACACATGAATTACAAGCTGATAGTAGCATAACATTTTATATCTGGCTTATTGTATATGGCATAATTTGATAGCTTATTCTATGTTGACACAACGAGAATGGTTCAGCATATATCCCCGGGTATAACCAGACAGGGTACCCAGTTTCCATGTGCGAACCAATTCGGACATTTTTGTCGAAGTTCTGATTCATACTTAGCCGTATGTCTCCGGTTATTGGACACACATGGAGTTTCGTCGATGAGATGTTAAATGTAGTTGTATTTCACATTTCATATCTGGATTATCGTGGAATGAATACACTGAGTTCTATATAAGTCGACAACTTAATTTGGGTTGACCCCATGACAATTGTCCAGCAGATAATCTCGGGTATAACGAGATAGGGTACTATTTTTTCATCAGACAGCCAATTCGGACATTTGTGGCGAAGTTGGGACTAATGCTTATCCGTTTACCTCAGGTAATTCGACACAGAGCGCACAGTCGATATAATAATAAATTTATGGGTGCTATCAACTGGCTGGTCCGTCAGTCCGAAGAATAACTTCTTTCTTTTGGGTTTGTCAAATTTGTACCCTTACTACAGTACTGGCCGATTGTGATGCACTAAAATGTTTTCTTAACTCATCATGCTCTAGGCCAACCACTACTGACGAAAAGGGAGTATCCGCTACATTCTGAACCATTCCATATGCTGAGTATAAACAAATCAGGAAAATTACGGCTATAAAAACTCATTAAGGCTTGTTTATTACTTGGAAAAAATATTTACTTCATTTTAAATGCTGTTGTCTATACGAACCCGCAAGTGTTTCACAGGGACCCATTGCTTCAGTTTCGATTAGACCTGTAGAGTTAGAGAAAATATTTTTTAGGGATAAATTAAAAATTGTTGAGTGGATTTTCCTATTCATGGGCCTATATACATTCTGCGCTCCCGGTGACATTTATCTAGCAAATCGTATTTTATTTGTCGTTCAGTGAGACCAAATTACAGTGTCTCGCGTTTTCCCTGCTTGATGCAACTTTCCGTTAAATTAATTGTTCAATCGACTCATACTTCCGCTTCGTTACCAGATTCTTGAGAACTGTTTTTAGTACTCCTGCTGTGAACTGCGTTTGGAATTTCGGCAACTTAGTCGTGCGAGCGAATACTCCAGTTGGACAAGTAATCTTCAAATGAAATCTATTCTTTTGTGGCTTCTATTATCTGTAAAAAAATCACTACAATTTAAAAACAATTTTCTGTTCCTACCCCGATATACATGCATACTTTGCCATACGCAAACTACCAACCAGTACAGAATTGTTGCTTTGAGAGGATATGTAAGTGATGAAATTGCCGTTCATGTTGTGCATCGGTAAACGAGAATAATTTCATGTCTGCGAAATACGGAATGATGAAATTGTGAGAGACAACTCAGCAGAATCTTAAGCGAACCGCATTATACCCATAAAGATGCGTCTCCTATTTCAAAGCCCGGTGAATCAACAACTTTTTGCATTTTGTTCATCCTTCGCAGCATCGATGTAGTAACCAATTTGCTGAACTAAGTGTCTGATGTGAATATGCAACTCCAACACCATCGATACTCTTTTAAGGCTCCCACCCAAATTTGTTGGACGTTGGAAATTTTTGTGCTAGTCGATGAATTTCGAGACAAGCCGTCAAAGTGATCAGTGCCAAACTATCGTTTATATCAAGGAGAGAACCCAAAATCAACTCTACTATGACAATGACCGCCCGTGCATAGAGAATTTGGGCATCAATGAATATGGTGGTGAAGATGAAAATGGGACTCAAAACTCGGAAGTCACCCGGGTACATCAAATTGTTCAGAACAGCTGGTTCAAAGCAGTGTTTGAAAAGTTGCACACTTATTTGTTCAACACGTCAAAAAACATCCATCGAATGGAGTTATGTAGCAATATAGGCAAACGAAACTTCGACCATAACACTCTCTCGTTCGTCATATTTTATCTGTTTTGACTCGGCCACCGTTTTGTCCATCAATATTCATTTGGAAAACTATAAAGACACTGAAGGAAGCCAATCCCTAGAGTAGACATTTCGGAGGCAACCATTTGTTTTTTGTTAATCACACAATACTACCCGGATGGCCAGAATGCGTGCCAAAGCACAGATTGTTGTTGCCAGTTTCATGTGTTGTTTTCACGAAATTCGGAATGACCTCATTCATTCATTGTTTTGAATTCTCTGAACAACAGAGAACAGCATATAAAAGTAGGAATCTCCGAGTCATGGATAATAAAACGAAGTTGTTGAGAGGTATTTAAAAAGCACTGTTTAGACGCTCCTGTGACAAACTGTCCGATCAAATAATGAGGACCAATTGTGGATTGAACTTTGGGTCAAGCTGGGGGACAGGCTTGGTTGTAATTATTTTACTCTCATTCACTGAATGTCACTTGATCTCTGATGGTGGCGATAAACAGGGAGTCAATACGGTCAATTCGTTCAACCAGGCAGCGAGAGATTTTAACCTGACCCAATCCTCCAAAGTTCCTTTGTATCAATTCGTGCGATACATCACCAATATGACGCAACAATTTGATCCCAAAGTCCACGAGATTCATATCAAACAGTTTTATTTCTACACGCACATTCACCTTACATCGTCTACGCTCATGAACAAGCAAATGTCTGTGGTGAGTTCAATTATTGATTCACTTCTTGCATTGTACGTATTGTATTTTACTCACAATATGCATGTTTTGCAGATTGCACTGAAGGACAAACAGTTGACCGGCGCGAATATGTTATTTTCTGTCTCACGTTTGGGATCAATGTACGCGCCAGCAGAGATCGCCGATGTCTTGGATTTCGTAATTCCATGTTATGCGGCCAGTCGTCCGACTCTATCCGACAGTAACACCATGCAGTCTTTTGTATCCACTTTGAGAGCAGCCTCATCGTTGGATGTGAACAAAGCCATGATTGCGGAAACGACGAGAATTTTACGCGAGAAAACGCCTATTGGTTCATACCATTTGTTGTGGGAAAATCGAACTGAAATGGTAAGTACTGGCGTTTGTCCACTGCTTTGTGTAATATTCTCACTTGTTGATCTATAATTATTTTAGTATGGGATCAAATTTGACTAAAAAATAGGCATTTATCTTTGTCATTGGAGCAAATCTAAACGTTAGGAACAAAATCACAAGCAATGCCACATACGGTTATTCGATTACATCTAGTTGCTCATAAGCATTACATTGATGCACCTGTATTTTATAGAATCTCACCATTAAATGCCACCAACTGGGTTTGACCCGGTGGTGGTATTGATTTTTCCAATAATTAATGTTGTACAATCTTGGTTGCAGAGCAGATCTTAGGCAACACTTACTTTGTGTCTATTCACATTTCATTTGTGATCATAAACGGTTGTGTCGAGAATTACGTGTTACGCGAATGCGGCGAAATGGTTCAATGGAATTATCATATCTCTTCCGACTTCAAATCGCTTGAACGCGGGATGTTCCGTGTTGTAGTAATCTTGTTGTACGCATAATGATTTGATAAACTGTAATACATCATTGTGTTTGTACACATTTTCCGTAAATTGATTGAGAGAAAACTAAATTTCCCGTTGCGTTCTCATACTGACTTTTTCGTCTTTCAGGATGATTTTCTGCATCAGACTGGCTACCAGCGTTTGTACTGTGGAAATCAATCGGAGGACAACCCGTGCGATTGGACAAAGATGAAACTGCCCGCTTCGGTTGCCGAGAACTTGTGTATCTATCGATGGATAAACACTAAAACGGTCACATCTGTCGAGAAAGTTGATGCACTTGCTGCTGTCTAACCGAGAGCCTGTCGATTTTGATGCTGCAGTTTGAAATACTATGTAGAATAGATTAGCCCTAGCAATAGCTCTGTAGCGTTTATAAAAGATAAACGTAGCGTCTGGAAAAGAAACTGCCGCAATGTTCCTTTAAATATATGTGATTTCGATTGAATTGAATGCCTTTTTTCGATTTCATTTAGAAGTTGGAATAAGGAGTAAGTTCACATAACTTACATTCCGTTAAAATTTGAAAGCAATTGATAATAGGTGAAAACAATTCTGAAAAATTGTATTAGATAACGATTTCAAAAACACAACTGCCGGTACCTACAGTGCAATGATAAATCACTAACCCATTGGGTCAGAATGCAGTCTCGTAAGTATTTGAGTGAAAGTAATATATATACTCTACATTTGGAAAGTTCAACTTGATGTCAATGGTGATTGACCAGCGGTGGGATGCGTTGATCGTTTGTTGGAGTGACATATAGTCCTCTAGATGTGTCACAGTTTTCCAGATCTTAGCGTCGTCCGCAAATAGCAGTGTATTAAGCCCAAGGACATGTGGCGGTTCTTTTTATAAATACCAGAAAGAGACAAGGCCCCAGTACGAATCCTTGAAGAACCCCTCCGGAAACGGGGATAGGTTCTGATAATGAATCATCAACATGAACTGAAATGGTTCCTTATCAGAGATACTCTTTGACCCAGTCCAGAACAAAACTTCTTACTCTGTAGTTGTAGAGCTTTTGCAGTAGAACTTGGTGGTTNTGGTGGTTTACTCGATCAAATGCTTTGTAGTAGTCCAAATTAACCGTATCTAATGGCTGTCATGTATAAACGGATTTGTCTACTCATCTCGTGCAAGAAGTAGATTTATGGTGCATGAACGCCTTTACCGAAATCCGTGCTCAGTTGGAGACCATATCTCATGCTTCTCCAGATATTCCATCAACATTTTTGCCACAATAGCTTCCATGACTTTCGGCAGTATCGCAAGAAGTGTCACAGGGCGGTAGTTGGCGGAATCACTGCAAGAGATGCCTTTGTAAATGGGGGAAATTACCCCTTCCTTCCATTACTGCGGATTCACTGCCTCGTTGAACATCTTTTGACAAAGAACAGCCAGAGGTTTGTAAATGTTATTGGCTAGCGAGATCAGAGTCACCAAATTATCATCCCGGATGATGTGGGTTCGAATCCCACTACCGCTGGCTGACTTTTTCCGTTTGTGTGTTGTATGGCATCCCTTCGATTGGCCGATTCCCCCTTCCTGAAAAAATTGTATCATCGTGTATTTAATAAAAGGAAGTAAAATGAAAAAAGAAAGAAAGTCAATTGTAAAATATTCCCCGAAACGTGGGTACTGTGACTGACATGGTCGTGCTTAAAATAACGGTGAAATGAAGCGTTCTTTATCAGTTAACGAGTTTTGTTTCACATCAGTGTTTCTAATGCATAACTCAGAAAGAATTGGTTCCTAACTCAACTAGGTCTTTCTTTGTAATTCACTTGAGTCCACTCGGATAAAATCACTTACGTGGAATGAGCTGATAAACCAGTGAAACATTTTGTGGAAAAAATGAAACCAACTCTTTACCATGTGGGGACGAGCCGCGTAGAAGCATAGTGGAACTTGAGAGCGATGTTCCCGTTCGCATTGGTTTCCGGCTACTCAATTATTTATAGACGTCAATGATGAATGCAAGTATGGTTCGACCTCTTGCTACGTTTATCAGAGCCATTTCTTTCAAAGCCTGAGGTTTTGGGCCTTGTCCAAGTGGAAGCATATGGTAATACTACACGCTAAACAAGACATATCCGTAATAGTAAACAATTGTATTGGAGTTTCAACTACTCGATTGATTTGTGAACGTACAACGATGATTAAAGACAGAACATGTATAAGATTGCGAAACCGTCTTGTACAAATTACTGTATGAAGTTAAAATTTTCAACAACTTTAAATCGTTTCACTACATTCGAAATTGCGTCAAGTTTTTTGGTGCTTCAGAATAAGTAGGGCACAACAGCGAGGTAATTGTTGGAAATGGATGCGTTCCATACAGGGCCATGAAGGTGCAAATACGATGATTGGAAGTGCAATAAAGTAATGCATTAAAAGTCACATCTCATTGGTTCGATCAATTTATGTATGGACAGTTCTAATGAACAGGACAAAATCGATGGTTTGAGGAACATCGCATGTTTTGATTTATTGAACACTGTCCTNACTGTCCTATTTTTGGCCTATTGTAAAATGTCGAAAACAAGCTGCTTCGTCAATCATTGTCCTAGTTCGTGGAGTAGAAAAATAAAAACAACATTTTGTCATAATGTTGAGTAACCGTTCACATCAACATCCATCTACCATGAATGATCGCCCAATCAAAAACAAAGCTTCATGAATACATCCCGGTAAAGTCAATAACTCAACTTTTAAAATTGTTCCCGTGGAAAATGTTCCTTTTTTCCTGCTGATTTCGAGAATCGTTCAAACATGCTTACAGTTATTCTTCGAGAACAGCTGTATTTCATACAATAAAAATGATTTTTGAACGATTTCTCTCATGGATAAAATCTGAATATGCTAAGTTGCACGGATATAATGAACGGTGAAGTTTGAGGTGTGCAAACATATCGTTCAGTTGAACCACAAGGTTTGAATGTCCTTCCTCACTTCATGGTACTTTTTCTCCAAACCCTGACAAATGTGAAACAAATTAGGGGTGTATGACGTAATTTATGAACAGTTAATGCTAGAAGTACAACAATAGCATCGATCGTTCAATTATTCATTTGAGGTTATACCGTTTGACTTACTCAAGTGCCATGGTCCAGTTAACACGTGAAGAATGAACTACTTGCTAAGTGTTGTGAGGTACTACTCACACTTGTGATTGAATTCTGAACCCCAAGAAGCGGTTTCATGGATTCTCACGGTATCTGGATTTGATTAGTATTACAAACACAGAAGAGGCAAACAGACTATTAGCCGGCCATCACCGGCGAAGAGACGCTCATGAAAAGTACTAATTAATTGTTGCATATTAGACGTTTCGTTCGAAGTAGCCTTATTTACCCCTATCCGATGCTGCTGGTAGAATAGTTAGCTCTCCTCTTCCCGGTACTGTTTTTTGCATTTGTGACACAAATAATCAAATACACCCAGATTGGACTGTCAAAACTGCCTGGTACACGTAAAAGTCGAACAGGAGAGAAAGCGGCAGAGCGTTCTACATTAATACAGACAATCTCTCAAGATACTAATGGTTAATCACGAAGCAGTGCATGTGTAAGTGTTTCCTCATCAAGTTTCAATGTACCGGCTCAGATAAGTCGTGCCATTCCCAAGAGGCTGTCAAAACAGCTCTCTCTCTCTCTCTCTCGGTTTTTTTAAACGAATCCATCGCTCATATGGTGTTGTTTGATTTGTTGGCTAATATTTCTGAATACATTTTGGTACTGTCGAAAAATATGAGAAGGCAACAGAGAACGGAATTATTCACGAGTGGTTCAGTCAATTAAATCTGAACAATGAGAATAGATTATGTTCAAGATAGAGTTTGAGTTAAAAAATCTACACAGATCGTTTTAACCGGTTAGGTGTTCTTTTACTGACAAAGCATTCAATCGTTTTCAGATATACTTTACCGATAAACCCGATTCATCTCACTCCTGAAGTATTTAATTTACATCAGTAATCTCTAGCTTATTATGCCTGCAGCGTAATGTAAGTTTACCTATGGAGTATGGCGGAATGTTACTTAGCTTAGACAGATTGGGATTCGCACTGATCAAAGCATGCAATAATATGCTACTGAAATCCATCGAACACTGACATTTTCTGACCTTGATCTCGTAAACAGTGATTCCAACAATAGTTCTGACCAAAAATATTGTCTAAGGCAGTAATGATGTTGATTTCTGTTCCAACACCCGTATGAAGCTTACGATGCGTTCTTCATGGTTAGTGAGGATATTCGTTTAAAAATTTGCACAACAACAAGAGTAATCAAACCAAACAAATCTCCACTTATCCTATTTATTGAGGAAATCTCATATAATATTTTCTTTTATGGAATGCACTTAAAAACAAACCGCTTCGATAGACATTAAAAGTAGCAGTATTGATTATTAACCCGGGACGGCCGCACCTCCTTGTCATCTAAAATGAGTTACTAAGCGATCTCTATAACTATCCTCAATAGACAAACAATTCACATGGAACTGTATCAATATGGTTGCAGATAAAATTACGGTTTTAGGCCGTTTTTCAAGTCAAAAATTTCTTTATTTATCTGAATGGATGAATTCTCAGCGCCTTGCACACCAGGATCATTTATCGTCACATGCAATCACAGAGAAAAGTAAGGAAACAGCAGTATACATTTAAGAGGAATGTGGTGTAAAAGTTTCAAAATTTGTGTGAAATATTGAGAAGCCTTCTTTAATAGGTGCCTTTTGTGTCAGAAATATCAAAAGACTTGGGACAACGGAAAAGAGGTGGGTAGTTGTACGAGGATACACAAGTTTATAAAGACACCTAGTTGCAGAAGTGGATACGAATCGTTTTAAGTTTTGTGCGCACTGGGTGAGTGATGTCTGATAACATGTTATGGCAGAAGTTTTAGCAAGAAGTAATATGTTTGTCGGTGGTAAGGTTGAACGAATGTAGATAGGGAATACCTCTTGGGCATGAAATAACTTTAGTAGATTAGCGTAGAATTGCATATTCCTGAACTCTTAGACCGTCAAGTTTTTACTTGACTGGGAAGCAGTAAAGAATATGAGTAACATCACAAAAATATACAAATTGGGTGAGTAAATACAGTGGAACTTTCAGAGATCGCGAGCGGAAAAAAACAGTCTTCCAATCTTTTCACAAAATAGAGTGCAAATGTGAAATCCACGTGTGATCTTGGCAGATAGTAACTCGGAGGATTTACAGAAAACGTAATCAAGTAATAGACTTTTTGTCAACATAGAGTAAAATCGCTTTAGCCATTCTCATTTGG